TTTGCTGACAAAAATCCAGGGTTGAAGCCTTCAGCCTGGATCGAACTCAGTGTGAGCAAAACCAAAATCCTCACCACTGGACCAACACAAGAAACCCTAAAACCATCAAGATAAATATAAGATGGAAGTTGTCAAGCATTTTGCTTTGTTTGGATCCACAGCCAATGCTCATGGAAGTAGCATTCAAGAAATTAAACAAATTGCATTGACAAATCTGCTGCATCAGAGCAAGAATGTGACTTTGAAGATTAAAGTGTGGCCGACCAAACCCATGGTATTTCTATGGCCTTCATGGATGTGAAACTTGGCCATTGAATAGGGAAGACCAAAGAAGAATCAGTGCACTTGAATTGTGGTGCTGGTGAAGAAGCTTGAAAGAACCATGACTGTCAAAAGAACAAACAGACCTGTCTTGGAAGAAGTACACCCCAAAGGCTTATTAGAAACAAGGACGGTGAGGCTTTAACTCATGCACTTTGGACAAGACCAACTCAAGCCAAATAAAAACTCATTGCCATCGAGCCGATTTCAATTCGCAGTGACTCTATAGGGCAGAATGGAATGACATTTTGAGGTTTTCTAGACTAAATGGGAGCAGACGGCCCTAACTTTCTCCCTTAGAGTGGCTTGCAGGTTCAAATCAGAGCTTTTGGGTAGCAGCAGCTTAACCACCAGGGATCCTTTCAGGAGAGTCCCAACTCACTGCCAGAGAGTTGATTCTGATTCATAGCAATCTTACAGGACAGGGCAGAACTACCTCCCAGGGTTTCTGAGACTGTGAATCTTTAAAGGAGTAGAAAGCCTCACCTTTCTCCTGCTGAGTAACTGGTGCTTTTGAACTGCTAACCTTGTGGTTACCAGTCCATCACGTGACCCTCTCTGCCACTAGGGCTTGTCAGTTCCTGGAGAAGGGCACTGTATTAAGTAGAGTGCCAGTGACAAAGAGAAATCTCCTCAATGAGATGGATTGACCCAATGGCTGTAGTAATGGACTCAAATACGACAAAAACTGTGAGGATGTCCCAGGACCTGGCAGTGTTCTGTTCTACTGTATCAGAATAGAGAGATAGCAGCTAGAGCAGCTCCATCTGGACAGAGAAGAGCACATAGTAGGTGCTTGACACATTTACAAAATAGACATGAAAAACAAGTTCTCTAATAAGAGACACTTTTAAAAAGGAAAAAAGACCTCTGGTTGGGTCAAGGAAGCCATCTATTATTCAGAGTCTCCTAATAAGCTTTCACTTTCTTAAATCATCACAAATGATCACATCAGACAAAGAGACGGAAAACCTAACATTGCCAGTTAAGAATTGATGAACTTGAAGAATATGTTGTGCGTGGTTCATTGGCGCGCAGAGGACTTGGCTTCCCGTCTGTGCTAGACTTGCCATCGAAATGCCTGCCCAGGAATCCTCAGAGGGTTACCCAGGGGCATGATGCTCCCGGAAGAGTCCAGCCCTAGGGACCAGAAGGCATAATGCCCATAATCTTAGTACTCCCTTGCAGTTGCTCCCCTGTGACCTCATGTCAGGAGATAAGCAATGCTGATATGAGCTGTCACTTCGACCTGGGTAGGCAGAAACAGGTGCTACCACCACATCCCGTTTAGTCAGTAATGTAGGGCCATGGGGAAATGACTTGGCAGTAGGAATCACCAGCCCAATTGAAAGAGCCTGCTTATCCTATTCCAGGCCTCCCGAGTTGCCTAGGGCAGGAGGTAAGGAATATGGCAATCTAATCCAAGGTAGCTGCTAGCTACCTTCACTCTGTCAGAATTCAGTTGATGGATGCCCTAGATGTGGGGTAAAATGGGGGAAGGGTCATCAGAGAGATTAGTGTTATCTGTAAGTGATTTTTTAAATAAACAAACCATTTTATTTTGCTGTCCACTTATCAGGGGCCATACATAGATGGCTTTTAGTCCCATCTGCTGAGCCATCAGCATTTATTTGCATATCTATGGGTTTATAATTGCAGGATCTCACAGCATATAATTAGCATCATACCCTGACTCTTGGTAATCTCTGCCCCCCTCCCCCCCAAAGTGTATTAGCACTTGCTATTTGTTCTGCTTCCTTGGCATGTTTCAGTTGGTAACCCATAAGGTTGACACGTGGGCTAGCCACACACAATCTAAAGCAGTGATTCTCAACCTTCCTAATGCCGAGACCCTTTAATACAGTTCCTCATGTTGTGATGACGCCCCAAACATAACCTTATCTTCATTGCTACTGTTATGAATCACGTGACTCCTGTGAAAGGGTCGTTCAACCCCCAAAGGGGTCGTGACCCACAGGTTAAGAACCACTGATCTAAAGGAAAAAAACAAACAAAACCCTACCTACAATTGTCCCTCCCCATTTGCTGTACTTGCCACCAGTCCAACTCAGTGCTCTCCCCAGTGTTAGGCGCTGTGGAGCTGGTTCTGAGTCATCGGACCCTGTGTACAGCAGAATGAAGCACTGCCTGGTCTTGTGCCATCTGCACAATTGTGCCTACGTCTGAGCCCATCAATGCAGCCATAGTGTCAGTCCATCTTGTCTAGGAACGTCTCTTTTTTTGCTGTCCCACTTCTTTGCTTTAAACATTATGTCCTTCGCCTGGGACTCGTCTCTCTTGACAATATATCCAAAGGATGTGAGGCGAGGCCACACCATCCTTGCTTCTAATTCGTATTCTGGCTGTTCTTCTCCCAAGACAGATCTATTGTTCTTTTGGCAGTCCGTGGTACGTTCAATATTATTCTCCAGCATCATAATTCAAGGCACCAATTCTTCTTCCTTATGCTCAACTTTCACATGCATATGAGCCAATTGAAAACATCGTGTCACAGGTCAGGCACGTCTAACTCCTCAGAGTAACCTCTCTGCTTGGCAGCGTTCTAAAGAGGCCTTGGGCAGCAGTTACCTCATAACTGCTGGCTGGTTCTGTGAGTACTGATTGTGGCACCAAGCCAGACTAAACTCTTGACAACTTCAGTCTTTTCTTCACTTACCACGATGCTACCAACTGACCCGGCTGCGAAGATTTCAGTCTTCTGTAGGTTGAGTTGTTTTCCATCCTGGAGGCTGCAATCTTTGATCTTCATTAGCAAGTGTTTCAAGTCCTCCTATAGGACCTGAGACCATTATCACACTGATCCTACCTTTAACATTTTGGTAATTTTCCCATTACAAATCTTTCCCACTAACTTTATTTTCTAAGCATTGCATTTTTTTATCCCGATTATTGATCTTTTTGTCTCTCCCCCTGTCCTCTACCTCTGCTGCCATAAATCTAATCTCAGAATTTTGCCGAAGGTGGCCAATGTTTAAGACGAAGATGGAGATGGTAATGATGACTGTGACAGAGAATATGACTGGCTAGTGTAATACACAAAGATAAAAAGTCAAAGGACTATGACCCTTCATAAGGTAGCAGCAGTAAGACAGACTCCCACCCTCATGAGTGTCCCCTTGGTCTCAGGCAAGGCTCTGCTTACACGCCCTCATTCAGGCTATCCTGGGCTGGATGACATGCTAGACTATCGTATCTGGTTTACAGGGTCCGTTCTTTGCCTAGACCAGGGTTGGCAAACTTTTGAAATGGAAGGGCCAATCCTGTCCCTCGCAACAATTTAAAAATTATTCGAGAACCAAAGATATATTTTTTACAAGAAATGAAATCACCATTATCTGATAAATAGCCTTTATATTTTTTTCCATTTTACTTCAGAGCTACACATAGGTACTGAAAGAGCTGCATAAGGCTCCAGAGCCACAGTTTGCCAGTCTAGATAATTTGCAATTCCCTTCATTCACTTTAATTCCCAATGCTTTTAGGATAAAACCTCTAAATGACCACTGGAGTCCATGAGGCAGAAGTCCCATTCATCACACACAATTTTCCCAAAATTTACCTGCTGCTTTCATAGAATGGTCACAATAATAAAGTCTCTTTATCAGTCAAGTTGTAAGCTGTAAAATCACACAATGGTTACCAAAGCGGATGCTGTATGTAAAGGAACAGAGCAGGGCTTGGGTTGTCACACTTTTGTAGGCTAGCGTGTGCCATCTGCTAGTGTGTGACCTCCCTGAGCCTCAGCTTCCTCAACTGTAGAGTGGAGGATGACCATTAGCCCAAGGAGGAGGGAGGAAGCCCAGAGTAAAGCACTTAGCACAAGGCCTGGCACTCACTGTGGGCTCACCAAATGCCAGTCATTGTTAGCCGGGTTATTACTCAGTCACTTAAGCTGAGTGATGCAAAGCCTCTGTGAATGGTGCTCGCCTTTCTGTGCAAAATACACAGAAAAAACCACTCCAGCCAGGCACTCAGCAGCGGACAGTTCACGCATTAGCACGTTTACATGAGGTGGCTTCTCCACCAAGGAGCAGGACAAAGGAAGGAGCGGCCAGTGGTGTTCATTGTGCAGCATCTGCTGCACAATAACAACGAAGTAAAGACAACAAAAACACGCATCCTCTTTCAGAGCCCTGGGGGCTGTTACTGGATTTCTCTGGCCTCCTCAGTTGTAACTGCCCCTCACTGTCTCCAATCAAAGCCCACCCCTCAGTCGGTGCTGCACTTTGATCTACAGCTTTCCTGCTCCAGCTGGGGCATCCTGTGTAGTTGTCAGGTCAGAAATCATTTGTTGTTATTATTAACGGTCTATGTACCACAATCTGCAAATATTTACTTTCATCCATAGAAATGCGTGTGGACTCACCACGGCTCCTTATACAAACCTCACTCTCACGCACATTTTATCATGTGTGCTTATTGAGAGCAAAGGGGGAATCAGCACAGGACCAGTAACAGTAGTTTTGAGATTATTCGGATGCGCTACTTCCTTCAAGATGCTACTCAGGGTTTCAACAAAATCGGACACACGCCCTGCAGGAGGCCACACGTGGGTCACGGAGCATTCTCTTGAAAGAAGGTGCTGAAAATGAATGACTTGGACAGAGGTGACAGTGACAGGTATATTTATTTTCCAAAGAGGATAGGGAGTGCCATACCTGGGTATTCGGTGTGTCCGGCTACAGTAGTACTTTTGTGGCATCCTGAAAGATGTTAAAACAAACATGCTCATTACCTAAGACGCACAAGCCAGCATCATGGCCACCCTAATGCCTTTGCAACAAGAATTTGCATGATTTGGGGCAGATCCAATATATCATATCCTGCTGTTTAACTGTTTTTATTTTGTGGATATGCTTTAAAAGGCTTTTTTGGTTTTTCTTTCTTGTTTACTTAGCTCCTAAGATAACACCTAAGTCTTGAGGGTTTTGAGGGAAGCAGGTTAGTAGTTATCTAACATCTGGACAGAAAAATTAAATATAAAGTAAATAAATGAAATCACAGTAAGACAAAAAATTAAAACAGAGAAAATAGAAAATCCATAAAAAAATAATAATCTGGGAAAAATCTGCTCAAATATGTGTATTAATATCTTAAGGTGCTTGTATAACTTAATAAAAATAGTATCATTTTAATCAGAAATAGAAAAAGGCTACTAATACCGAATCACATACAAATGACCCTTAGACACCTAGAAATGTTTACCTTCATTAGCAATAAAGTATGAAAATGAAAAGATTTGCCTCCTTTGCTTGTTTACAAACCACAGAGAACATCAACATTTCTAAATCACCAGGTAGAAGATGGTGAGAAAGAAACTCGCCTCAGGGCTACTGCCTTAAAACAAGACGAACTCTTGAGAACATTTCAAGAACGTAACTTGGCGACATCTTTCGGCAGTTTGCCCGACAGGGGGCAATCTCCGGGCCCTGACGGAAAAGCAACACACGGAGCTGTCACTGTCCTCAGGGCAGCAGGTCGCTGAGCGACATCGACTCAATGGCAGTGAGTTTGCACAGAGTCAGTTGCGCATGGTTATAGAAGCAAAACAGAAAGGAAGGAACCAAAAGGCAATGATTACAACATCAATGTGACCAGGGTAAAGGTATAGAACAGAGAAGTTAACCACGCGGTGATGATTTATTGTTTAGTCATTAAAGCTAATATTCATGAAAAATGCTAATATATGGAAAATGCCTTATGGCATAATTTTGGGTAAATAAAGCATGCATTGTATATATGGCACTGTGGAGACGCTGGAGTCAAAGACGCCCATTGCTCTTCCTATTTGGGAGAAGGACAAAACGGTGTGTGGGGTCATATCTGACATCCAATTCTAACTTCATACCAGCAACTCCCAAAGCTGATTTCTATGAGGCTTAGGTCAGCCAGCTCCCCATCCACCAATCTTCCCGATCAATTCGGATGCAATTTCTACTTCTCAGTAGGGATCAATAATCCATGGCTAGGGCCACACAGAATTCACAGAATATGATCACAGTTATGCACTATGGGTCTGTTAGAGAGGCTCACCAGTTACAATTCTAGTGAGAAATGCTCAGGAGGCAGTTCTGGCCAGAGAGGCAGACTGTGTCTGTGCCTGCAGGCACGTCTCTCTCTGGCCCTCAGCCCCTTGGCCTGGCCTCTGCCCTAGCTTGAGCAATGCATGTAAGCTCTCTTAGGAATTCCAATACATACCCAGAGGGCATGCCACTCTTTAACCGGAAGGACTCAGCTCTAACGCTGTGCATCTGTAAACCCTGCTCCCCTCATTAAGTGCCCAGAGACACCTCAGCCCACAACCAATCTCTTGCCCAAAGCACTCAGTTCTACTTGTTCTGTGGGCTGGGAGAGCCACTGCTTTGTGTCGTGCTGCTGCCCTTCTATCACTCCGCTCTTCTGGTGGCCAAATTGTCTCCTGGATCAAGAAGGTTCAGTGCACATGGATCTCGGGTTCCAAAGGAAATGCTCTACTCCAGGGCTTAAAGGAGTTTGGTCATCGTGAGTGTTCATTCAGGCCAGGTTCAGAGAGAGGTAGTAGTACCATGGTGAACCCTGTCCCTCTGCTCACTGAGCATATATTTTAAGTGCACGCATACCTAGGAGATACTGAGGTTTCTATTCCAGATCACTGCAATAAAATGATTATATCTCAGTAAAGATGAAGTTTCCTACTCCTATAAAGAGTGAGCATCTCTGAATCCCAAAGGTGCAGTTCTACTTTTTACCCTAGACTTCCAATGAGTCAGTATTGACTACCCATTCTGAAAAGACAGTGAAAGCAGGGAAGGGAAGGGACCCAAGCAAGAGGTAAGTGCTAGCGCCTGGGCTACTCTGGCCCTGGAAGACTAGCAGCCCTCCATGGGCGATATTAGGGGCCAAGCTCTCCTGTGGTGATGCTGGGTAGAGGAAGGTGATGGTGGTAGGTGGAGGGAGGAGACAGTGTTGTGATGTCCACCGTTCAGGTGAAGGGGTCAGGTGACATGGTTATCCTCCATTTTCACATAATGCCAAATTTTACATGAAGACCTAGTCTTTGGAACCTAATCATATCTGTATCTGAAAATGGGCATACTTTTTTCTTAACTGATTAATTTATAAATGAACTCTTCCTTACCTCTTGGTTTCTGCTGCTAAAGGACTTCAGGTTTCCTAAATTCCATGACAGACCCTCTGGCATTCTTCATGTTGTAACCAATTAACTGTAGCTTTTACAGATAATTGCCTAATTCTTTTTGGTTTTCTATTAAAATTTGCTAAAAGAGAATCTGATAGACCTAGTTCACATATCTGAGGGAGCTACACAATGGGTATATGCCTGTAGGTTGGCATCTCTCAGATCAATAAAACAAAAAAGCAAACCCTTGCCATCTACTCTATTCCAATTCATAATTACTCTATCGGAGAGAGAGGAACTGCACTATGGGATATCCAAGATTGTAATCTTTATAGAAGGAAACTACTACAGCTTTTCCCAGAGAACAGCTGGTGGTTCTAAATGCTGCCTTTCCAGTTGGCAGTTCGGTGCTTAGACATGGGGTTGCAAGGGCTCCTCCTTTGGGGATTAATATTGCCGTTGTTAGGTGCCATGGAGTTGGTTCCAATTCATAGCGACCATGGACAGCACAGCCTGTCCTGCACTACCCTCACAGTTGCTGTATTTTAGCTCATTGTTGAAATCACTTTGTCAGTCCATCTTGTCCAGGGGTCTTCCTCCTTTTTGCTGTCTCTCTACTTTACCAAGCATGATGTCCTTCTCCAGGGATCGATTTCGCCTGATAATGTGTCTGAAATGCATGAGTCAGAGTTTTATCATCCTTGCTTTAAAGGAGCATTCTGGCTACAACTTTCCAAGCCATATTTGTTTGTTCTTTGGACAGCCATGGCACTTTCAATATTCTTTGCCAGCACCAGAATTCAAATGCATTGATTTATGTTTAGTCTATTTAGTTCATGTCTAGTAACTGTGGGAAACGGAGAACCGGGAAGAGAGTGTATGTGGGACAAATTCTCTCCACTCATATTTAAGGAGTCTGGGAGGCAGATTCTGGTGGATTCGTGCAGATTCTTGGAGGAAAGCCTTCACGCGCCTGAGTTAGAGATGTATCCCAGTCACGTTCTCCTAAGTAAATGTTCCCCACGATGTCCCCTGTAATAATGCCAATTATAAAGTGCTGCTTGCAAGCACATGATTACTCTACTCTTGACAGTTATCTGCCTGAAGGTTGTCTGCCATCAAGAGTGATCAGACCCTCTTCCCCCAAGTATGCTCCACTCCCTTCTGATAAGGTCTTAAAGGCTTGAAGGTAATCAAGCGGCCATCAAGCTCAGAAGCAACTAAGCCCACCTGAAAGAAACACACCAGCCTATGCAATCATGAGGTGTGGAAGGGATCAGGTATAAGGCATCATCAGAACAAAAAGTCTTATCATAGTGAATGATGGGGAGAGTGCGGAGCGGAGCCCCAAAGCCCATTAGTAGGCCACTGGAGATCCCCTTGCAGAGGGGTCTCGGGGAGGAGACGAGCCAGTCAGGGTGCGATGTAGCAACGATGAAAAATACCACTTTCCTCTAGTTCCTAAATGTTTCCTCCCTGCTCCCACTATCATGACACGAATTCTACCTTGCAAGTCTGGCTAGACCAGAGGATGTACACTGGTACAGATAGGAACTGGAAATACAGGGAATCCAGGGCGGATGAGCCCTACAGGACCAGTGGTGTGAGTGGCGATGCTGGGAGGGTAGAGGGAGAGTGGGTAGGAAAAGAGGGAACCGATTACAAGGAACTATATGTGACCTCCTCCCTGGGGGACGGACAACCAAAAAGTGGGTGGAGGGAGACGTCGGACAGGGCAAGATATGACAAAATAACAATTTATAAATTATCAAGGGCTCATGAGGGAGGGAGGAGCGGGGAGGGAGGGGGAAAAATGAGGACCTAATGCCGGGTGCTTAAGTGGAGAGGGAATGTTTTGAGAATAATGAGGGCAATGAATGTACAAATGCGCTTTACACAATTGATGTATGTATGGATTGTGATAAGAGTTGTATGAGGCCCTAATAAAATGATTAAAAAAAAAAAAGAATCATAGATTGTTCCCCTAGAGAAGAGCTCAGGGAGACTTAAGGTCAAGCCAGTTCAGAGGCAACCGAGGTTAAGCTGCCATCTTAACTCTAGAACCCTTCCATCTTGTTATGTATGTATCTTCCTGTTATGTGTATGCCTCTAATACAACCCCTTCTGTTATGTATGTGTATGACGTGGCTTGCTAGCCCAAGATTATGTAAGCCTGTTCAGAGAATACATTACCCCCTCTCTGGTTATGCTCTCCATGGAAGAGGAGCCCTTGCATTCCTTGTCCGATGTTTCTTTCATTTACCCTTCAGTTACACAACCACCCTTTAGGACCCATTTGGTTGTGGAGGCTAGTCCCCCACAAGTAACCTCTTTGCTTTTTCATTCTTTCAAGAGGTCTTGGGCAGCAAATTTTACTCAATGCAGTGTGTCATTTAATCATGTGACTGCTGCTTCCATGAGCACTGATTGTGGACCCAAGCAAGACAAAATCCTTGACAACTTTTATCTTTTCTCCATTTATCATGGTCAACATACAAGTTTAATCAGCTCTGATGGGACTGTGCTCCTTGTTGGTTTTTACTTTCAACAGAACTGTGCGCAGGACACAGCTGTTTGAACTAAACT